TCCTTCGTCTCTCCTCCCACCTTTCATCTGTGTATGTGTGTACGGGATCTGGGTATCGTCTATGAATGACCCAGACCCCACCATCTCATGATTGTATGTGTGTGGAGTGATGCCACGTAGGTCAGTCTATGTGAGTCAGTCTATGTGAGTCAGTTCGTTTATCAGACTTCCGCTGCGTACATGCTCATCCTATATTGGTTGATCTTTGGTTCTGCCCATACTCATCGAAGTATGCAACACCGTTATTGAGACAGTTAAAACACCCTACCTTAACAAACCTACCGGTAGCAGAATCGACACAGCAGATGTGTGAGTATGCGCGTGATTATTTCGCAGACATACTCATCTCCAGATACCCAAGCACAAACTTTGACACAGAACTCACACTTAGTTCAGACTTCTGGAACAGGACGAATATTGCGATTTCCCGACATGGGAGGCTTGACTTGGATAGGCCATTCACATTAGAAGAACTGGGCGAAGCAACTAAAGAGCTAAAGAGGGCTAAGTGTCCCGGTTCGGATGGGCTCCCGGTGGAGTTCTACTTGGAAACATGGGACTCACTGGGCCCTTTTCTCGCTGATATGTGCAACAGGCTATTATCAGGAGGGGCATTACCGAGAGGTCTCACGCAAGGGATCATAACACTTGTGTATAAAAAAGGGGACAAAAGAAAAGTTAAAAATTATCGCCCGATCTCACTACTGAACGTTGCCTATAAAATTTTGGCGAAAGTCTTGGCTCGACGTCTGGCGAAGTACCTACCAGAGGTTGTAGGCCCAGATCAGGGGGCCTTTGTGAAGAGTCGCTCAATACATGAGAACATTCTGACTACCGTCCAAGCCTTGGAAGTCATAGCAGCAGAAAATAGGAACATGGCTACCCTTCTGCTAGATATGGATAAAGCATATGATAAGGTTGGGTGGGCTTTCGTATCCACCACTTTGAAGAAGATGAATTTTGGAACAAACTTTCTCAAAATCGTCAAGGCTATGTATTCACAGGGGACTGCAACGGTTAATGTGAACGGCTGTCTCTCGGAAACGATCCACTTAACACGTTCCCTACGTCAGGGCTGTCCTCTGGCCCCATTACTCTTTGTAATTCAGTTGGAAGTTTTGCTAGATAATATCAGGCATAATGACAATATTATCGGCTTACAGATCTCTCCCTCCCTCCATTGGAAGGGGAACGCATTAGCGGATGACTTGACGGTAATCTGCAGCAACACACCGAATTCATTAACAGAACTGAGATCTGTATTGGAAACTTACTGTTCCTTGTCTGAAGCCTCAATTAATTGGACCAAGTCAACTTTCCTCCTCCCAGAACCTTGGGAGTTGGCACTGGATTGGGGAATGTGCAGGGTGGGGGAAACCGCATCTGAGAGATTATTGGGAGTCCAGGTCTCACTGGGGAATGCTTCAAGTAAACAAGACTCAATATTGGAGACGAGTAAGATCAAGAATAGCAAATTGGGAAAGGGGACATCAATTGTCCCTTTTTGGGAGAACATTGGTCCTGTCAGCGGCTGTGTTTTCAATTTTATGGTTTCCTATGGTAGTCCATCTTCTTGGAGATCTGGCTTATCATAACATTCGTCGGGCGGCAGTAAGCTATGTTTGGAAACCTTCGGCGACAGAAGGGGCAGGAGTCCTCTCCAAAGTGGCCTGGGATACAATAGCGCAGCCAAGAGGGGAGGGAGGACTCGGTCTGTTGGATCCAAAACATCAGAATATAGCACTGTTGGGAAGATGGCCTATCAAAGCCATGTACGAAAAAGACGATAAGATTTGGATTAAGATTGCAGAGTACATTCTGGGGACTGAGTGGGAGCTAGATAACCACATGGTAGTGTGGCGTTGTTTGCTCTTACCATCATTCGCGAACAGACGGCCAAGATCACGGACTTGGAAGGCTATCCTTACAGCGTGGCGGAAAATCAGACCTACAGAACACTCCCCTCCACTATCAAAAGGTCAAGTGTTAAATGAACCTCTTTTTGAAAATGTTGGTATCTTACAACAGGACAGTACCCCTTTCTCAGTGGCCCATACGCAGGGGAGCTTCGGTAACTCTTGGATTATGAAAGGGATACTATTGATCAGGGATATTTGGGATGAACAATCCCATGACTGGATCACAGAGCAAAGGTTAAGGCTGCACCTCCCTAGACTGCATAACGTCCGGATACACTTTGCAGCTCTGAAGGCAGCGATTCCGGAGACTTGGAAAGCTCTGTTAACAGGAGATGCCTTACCACAGGAAAACTCTTGGGTCAGAGCGCCAACAGTAGACGAAAAATTCTGGAGGATTCTCGGTCCAGACTTGCAGCAAGGTACGAGGATTCAAGAGTGGAAGCCAACTGTTTTCTCGACAATAGGGTCGGAGCTGAGCAGATCACTAACCTTGGTAGAGGAAAGAACAAAATTCTTGAGCAGAGATTTAGAGGAAGTAAGGGTTCGGTTAGTCAGAGACAGAAGAGGCGTAGAGCAATGTTCTGGAGGAGTTGCAGCCACTCAGTTCAAGGTGGAGCCGTTCACTTATGGGTGGAAGCTGAGGAATCATCAATCGGAGTTCCTACCGTTAGTGCAATACTCGACAAAGATTGGGAGGGAAATACAGAGATCTACTGTAAAGAAATCTCCAACAGCGGTAGCCAGCAGGAGATGGAACGATTACTGCCCGAGCCTGATGAAACCACGGGAGCTGCAGGGTCTRTGGATGCAGCTGAAGAAGATGACAAATCAGAAGACTGCCGCCTTGCTTTGGTTACAATCCCTTCAAGTAGTGGCCTCGGCTACATGGCTGTCCTCTAAAGGTTTGGACATTGATCAAACATGCTCACGGTGCAAGTGGGCATGGGAAACGACGAACCACCTTTGGATTCACTGCCCAGTCTCAAAAAGACTGTGGCAATGGTGGAGGCATAACTGACGAGCATTCACAGAAGGTGTTACACCGAAGGCTTTAGATTGGACTGATACATGGATTCTAACTGGGAATGATTCGGACCAGATATCTTTTACCAGAGGGTGGGGGTATGTGGCTCAGACGTGCAGAGGAGAGCTGATGGCGGTAATCTGGCAGGCCAGGAATGCAGCCCTATTTCATGGTGACCGTTGGACATTCCCTCATACTATATCAGTAGTAAAATCCCAGCTGAGAAGGGTTATCAGAGCGGACTGGCATACTAAAAACAAAGTTTGGTTCTTGAACACTTGGGCATTGGCAAATCGGTTGACAACAGTTTCGGGAGATACAGATTTGAGAATTGGACCGTGGCTGAGTCCTTGAGTAAACTTCGAATAATGTTGAATTTATCAGGTAGGAGCTGAGGTTTGATGGAATGAGTGTTGGTTCTCAGTATTGGATAAGAAGACAGGATAGTACGAGGCCGAGTTTAGGCCTCTGGAGGTGATTTTGGGTAATGTACCCAGAACGACAGACAGCAGCTCTTAGGAGCTTGTGGTGAGTCGTAGGTAGGCTCTATTGAAGCGAAGCCGGGTAATGCTCCCGGTTATGAATGACTGTAGGATCAACATTAAAGGGATAGCTCGATCTTTTGTGGCCTGTGGTAGTGTCTGTTAGGTCTATTTGTTCCCGTTTGTTTCAGAAATAGCAAGACTGTGGATCGGAGCATGGGACACTGG